GATCTCCATTTCTCGCTGGTCCAGATCCTCCTCCATAAGAGAATGCCTCCTTTATGATGCAGCGAACAATCACTCCCGGATACAGCGGTATCTCAATCATGCATCAGACAATCCGCGGCCGGCAGACCCGTGCCGTCGGATGACCTATCGGCCTGTGGCACCGGCCGGGGCAGTGATCCCTGGTCGGTTCCCCATGGACTGCTTCAACGGCATTGAGAACAGGCTATCAATCTCGACAAAGAACACAATATGGGCGCCATGGTGCCTTATATTGAGAATCAGAAAATCACCTACATATCGAGGCATTGTCTGACCAGCACACATGTGACGATATGCGTTACTTTCCCTTGCAGCTGTGGCTTCAAGCTTCGCCCTCCGCTTCAGCCGCCGTCAAGGCACAGGTCACGCATCGGTGGCCCAGCTCACGCATGCCACCACGCGCAGCCGACACCCAGTCACGTGGCTGGGCCAGACACGTGGCACGTGTGACGCGTGACGGCCACCGACCATCCGTGACGATCCAGTGACGGTCCGTGACGATCCAGTGACGGTCGGCTAACGACGCCATTTCTCTTTGTGATACGACCACGGTTTGAAACCATAGCACCGATGTCCTCAGAGGTATCATTCTCCAGTAATGTCGCTCGGAACTATTGTAACTCAGTTGATCACCGAATTTTTCCATCGGAACTTGACCTAGCCTGGACTGGCAGGTCCCTTGAGCCGGCACAAAATCGACCCTGAGAGCGGATGTATTTTATCTGCCTTGTCTACACATTGTTCGAATGAATGCACACATACCTACGCAAAAACACCCTCTACCTTGCACCGTGTTCGATGAGGAATGAAATCGAGTTGACATCTGTAGCTTTACAGTGGATACTTCCTACACAGTTAAGAGAGAGACGTTGTCTCGATCCGTGGGCGGGTCGGATGTGTTCCGTCTCTGCAGTCAACCCGGCGTGGGAGGAACAACTGCCGCCTCCGAGACCAAATCCTGCTGTAATTGACAATCTACAACATACTCCCACAGACAAAACACGCGTGTAGGCGAGTGCATTGAACACAAAAGATGCTCGCTATAACCGAACCGAACTGACGGGTTGTGGGTGTACGATAGAAAAATCGCACGATTGTACAATGTATACGCAACACACACCTGCCCAATCGACACAAGACTGACACATTCCTTACGCACAAGGTCACAAGGTCAGTGCGGGGCTCGAGAGGGGGGACTGTGACACTCGAGGGAGGGGGGATGTGACGGTCGTGAGCTTGACAGCACAGTGTGACCCTGCACCAGGGACGCAGTAACCGCTGCAAGAAATAACAAACACCGCATCTGCTGGGGTACCTACTGCGGTCAGCGATGGGCCGCGGGCGGCGGTCAGCGGGGCCGGGCCGGGGGTCAGGGGAGGGGGCGTACCCCCCTCAGCAGCGTGCCCAGCCGTAACTAACGCCGTCAGCCGGCACTGACTGGCCCGTATTGACACGAGCCCGCCGGCGGCCGGCCTCCACCCTTCATCGCGCACATTGGCCGCGCCCCGCTACGGCCGTCTGTTTCCGCCGGCACGGCGACTACGGCCGGCTACGGCCGAGCACGGCCCGAGCACGGCCGGCCGCGCGGCGGCGAGGTGCCAGTAATGGGCCGGAGAACACGAGTTTGTGCCGCCAATGAAGTCACCCCAGCGGCGGTAAATTTGGCCCGAGCGACAAACGTCCGTAGGACACGGATAGGGAACGGGGGCGAATCGGACCGCTGTTCTAGATCGGGACGACTGCTATTAGAAACGGCCCGAACCGGCATTTGTTCAGGCATGCCGCCATGCCCAAACATCAGCCCACTAAGCAAAAGCACGCTTCTTTCTTCAGGACAGCGCTCGAACGTGCTGGACCGCCAGTGAGAGGGTCGCCGTTGCCCTCAGTTGTTTGTCAAGTGGCAAATGACAGGTTGAGTCAACCACAGCCGCCCCTGCAGCCAGCTCCCCCTGACTGACCTCTGCGTCAGGGGTCACAGAGAACGCACAGGCACGCCGCGGCGGCTCGGCGGCGCGAGGACAGTTTTTATTTGGCACAGGACTGTGAACTAAGAGGGACAGAAAAGGGGAGGGCAGAGTCGACTGCCCGCCTGGCCTGTTCGCCTGGCTAACCTTAGATAAAAGGTCCCCTGTGGCGGCAAACCGACACAAGTTGGGACTGTTCCCGAATGGTGTGTGCTTAGTGGATAATCGTCTAGTGAGTTGCAGATTGCACGTCTGCACACACAGATCATCTAGATAGATGACATCATACAGCTGGAGGCGGCTCAGATCCACCGGAAGCGCGCGGCTTTGATGCACACGCGGTGCGCCGCCGCGCCGGTGTCTCTTGAAACTTAGTGCACCGTGCAAACAAGTTACTTAGTTTACCGTCCTGCAGTGTCTGGTAGTTCATATCAAATGTGCACCATAATTACGAGCGAGCGAGCGCAGCGAGCGAAGCGAAGTCTTTTCAATATAACGGAAAAATCTCAGTATGAGCGGCCCGGCCCGGCCCGGCCCGGCCCGGCCAACGCTTTTGAGAGGCTTATATCTCAGCAACCGCTGTACCGATTGGCCTGCGGTCTTTTTTGCTGGGTAGCCCCATCCCTTCTACCCCGTAATTGACTACTTTTGATACACCTCAGTGACCGTCGTGGCACGTGCCACGTGAAAAGTCAAGGGTGTTCAAGCTGTTTTGCAAAAGTAGTGATTTTGAGAGGCTCATATCTCAGCAGCCGCTTGGGCAATTGACTTGCGGTAATTTTTGTAGGGTAGCAGCATCCCTTCTACCAAAAATAGGATACTCTTGATGCATGTGGGTCACCCCCAGTGCACGTGCAAAATACAACAATAAGAGGTGTCAAATTTGTTCCCATTTTAACCCGCGCACCGACGGGGGGGGGGCGGATATCCGCCCCCCCTGAGGTTTTTCGCGAATAGCGGGAAAACCGCGGCGCGTAGCGCCGCGAAATTTGGTATGACTATACCCTCATTAATTTTACACATGGTGTGCAAGTTTGAACTTCCTACCTTTTAAGGTCAGGTCACCAGGTCACTTTGAATGACCCAACCTCAAGTCACTTTTTTGCAACTTTGTCACCGTGCCACAGCTACAGTAGATGTCGGAGGCCTTTGAAAGTCGCAGGATATTATTAGGTCATTAGTAGCTACAAGTTGTATATCTCGGAATTTTGATATCGGTGACCTAAGGTCAGGTCAATTTCGCGACCTCCCCATTATAAGTCAATGGGGGAAAAATCAACTCCCTGTTTTTACCACTGAAACGGGTCGGAATGGCCCCATATACTTTACATGACTTCATATACGATCAACCTTCACTACCTTGAGGTCTGTTTTGCTGTTGGGCAGCTGTGAGGTCATGTGACGTCATCAAAGGTCACCAAAGGTTTTTGGCCAATAACTCCGTACAGGAACAAGATACAGACGCGTGGATGGTCTCATTGTGTTCAGCTCGTCAAGACGCATCGAATGATATACATGATGACCTCGAGGTCACGTGACCTGAGGTCAACCTTTGACCTTGACCTTTCGAGGTCAACATTTATATCATTCGATGCGGATTGACGAGAGGATCACGATGATGCCCTTAGTTTGTTCCTATCTTGACTGATTCGAAAGTTATTCGAGAAAAACTCTCCATATCTAGCACCGCCATTTTGACTTTTTCGACCCCTGTGACGTCATCTTTGACCTGACCTGAAAATGACCTTAGTAAAAATTGTAGATCTTGCCCGTGCGTATCCGATGCCGTTTACCGCTTGTCGCTATCTTGCTTTGTTCTCGAGATCTCAGGGGGGGCGGTCATCCGCCCCCCCCCCGTCGGTGCGAAGTTGGCGCAGACCCCCGTCGGTGCGCGGGTTAATAACTCGGTAATTACTGGGGCGATTTCGCTGAAACTTGGCATACAGGTAGGCACTCACCAGGCAATGCATTCCCATGTGTTGCGGTTAAGGTGCTACTGCACGTGCGCACGTGCAGGGGGCGCTTCCAGATCTCGAGAACGGCTGGGTCGATTGCGCTCAAATTTGGTACACGGTTGGGGACCAGTTAGTAGGGTGCCGTGCAAAAGTCATTTTGGACCCCGTTTGCACGTACGCACGTGCAGAATGCCGCTTCCAGATCTCAGGAACGGCTGGGCCGATTGCGTTCAAATTTGGCACACGGCTATCGACCGGTTAGAAGGGTGTTTTGCGCAAGTCCGTTGATAGTACCCTCTCGCCCTTCCGCACGTGCAGGGCTCACTATCTCGCTCACTCGTTCTTCGCCCAAAAGGCGTTTTACTGGTTACTAATTCACTGAGGCACATGAGCACCTGATTTTTGTTTTGCATTAACCCGAAAGCTATAATCATTGTTGATTAACATTTTATTCGGTTCTTCCTTTTTTTATCGCTTTTTTCTTTATCGTTTTGAGAAACGATTTCCATCATTTAAGGAAATTTGATGAAGTGGCTAGTGAAGGCATTATAACACAGGCAAGCACCTTTAGCATACACAATAGATTTTACTTCGGAGGCAAAAGGGTCCTCAATATTTTAATTCGATCGACATTTTTTACTAATTGGCTGTGATATTTTATGTTAAACGTTTCAAATATTTCAATTACCATTTTTGAAAGTCACATCGCTATGCAAAATAAATACTTTATTATAAGAGCAATATTCTACAGGGCTTCCAATGTTTTAACATGTTCAATTATTGTCCGTTCCATCTCACACTCAACAACGCGGTTCATTCACAGAAAATTGCTAAGCACAGGAACGGCTGAGAAATCACCACACTTTTCAGCCCATCGCCATTTTCCCCCACTTCCGGGCTGTGATTTTCGCGGCGGGCTGTCGTCGGCGGCACCTTTGTGACCCTCCCCCCCCCCCGAGCGAGCGGGGAGGGCGCTCCCCAAGTGCGGCGGACGGCAGCGCGCCGACCTGCGCGCCGCCTAGCGAGCTCCAGAGCAAACCTCGGCCAGCGTCCGGAGCCGGCGGCCGGCCGCCAGTCGCCGCCGAGGAGAGTGGAGGGGTGGACGCACGTCGGACGATCCGTGACCGTGGCCTGCCGACGCGCCGAGCCAGTGATCAGTCTTTCTGTGGACCGGGGAACGGTAGCCGCCTCAGGGCCGCACGTTCTGCCCGCGGCGCTCGTTCAGTCAGTGGACGGACGGAGAGTTTTGACCGGCGCGCTGCATTGTGACATGTGAGAGGACGCCGACTCGGGGAAACAGATCTCAGGTGAGTTCACCCGCCGTGATGGTGGGATTTTGTCACCGCTTCACACACTCGCATATATCACACACATCGCAGGCGCGCATTATATTTCATTGACTCACGGCGAATTCGATCTCTAACTGAAATTAGAGCCCAGTGGAAAATATTTGGCCTTCGCGGGTGGCAGCCGATCGGGTCTCACGCTCCGCTGGCTTTGCTGAGGAGGTGGCCTCTCTCACACCCCGTGTCATGGCCACCTCGGCGCCGTCAAATTAGCGGCCCGATCGACGCCGATCCATCGACGCCCAGTTTTTACCACCTCTGAAAGGCGCCCGCATCGGCGGCGGCGTGGCCGTCTTCACCCCTGCCGCGGGCCATCTCCATATCAATGGCCGGCCACAATGCGCCCATATGGCCCTCGGCGGGCCCGGCGCGGCGCTACGGCGGTAGCGCGGCCCATTTTCGTTCATCTCTCGGGCTCGATTGAGGCCGGCGGACTCAGAGTAAACAGTCATCTTCCTGCGCGCTCCGAGAGGAGCTCACTGAATGCCACCTCTTGACGGCCGCCGCTCACAGCAGCCGCACAAAATAACAGCAGCGACGAGTCCGCAGATTAAAAATCCGCTACTGAAATTCAGCCTCACTTGAGGATCGCTGGCGCCCCTGATACGGAGCCTCGGAGAGCGAAAGGATTGGTCGGCGTCCGTTCAAGGCTGTCGCTGGCCGTGATCAGACTTTTTCCCACGCTCGGTTCGGCCGGCGTGCCGGGCTGTCACCGGAGCAGGTTTTGACCTGTCGGCACATGGAGCTGAAAACTGTTATTTCGCCTACTGTTTGGTTCACAATTTGCCACTGTCTTGTCCGCTGTCAGTGAGCGGACAGGCGTTCCAAGCCGCCTGCATTACGGTCCGATTTGCCGCGCCTGCCTCGCGTTGTAAGTCGGCTCGCGTGTCGGCACCGGCTCTTTGTCCGCACCAGTGCGCCCAAATACGTCAGCCGAGCGGCGAGGCTCCCCGTGGTGTGTCGGAGGCGCACGTTTTCCTGCGAGTGGCCGCGGTCCGGTCCGGGCAGGGCCGTCGGGAGCTGCCAGTCGGACTCGCCAGTAATCTGCGGATTCCGCCATCCGGCACGATCGCCCGCTGGATGCGTCCGCCGGCCGTGTCCGTCTCCGCTTCTCCGGAGATGGTCTCCGCGTCTCACGGAGAATCGTCTCCCGGAGACAATCGGGTCACATTCAGCATGTATCAACCTGGGACGTGCTGTCGCGCCCGGCGGCCGGTCGCGGCGGACATTTAATTCGGCCAGAAATACCAGGTCGGCTGTGTCTCAGGCTGGTCGGCCCGTTTAAATCCCTCCAAATACCGGGCCGCGAGTTTCCTAAGTGTGGAACTGCCCATACCTAAGGTCTATGATTGGCGCAAGCTTCGCCGAGATGACGTTACAGGCTGTGACGTCATGGCTCACAGTCGGCTGACCAATCGCTGCACGATTATAGGCTAGCGGCGCGCGGCACTAGCGCCCCTGGTGTTATTATGGGAAGTTGAGCAATTACATTAACCCGCGCCGTGCTGGTGGCCTGAACTTTCCGCCGAGTGCTGGGGGGGGGGGCGTTTTCACGCCCCCCCCCCGTCTAACTCGGCTCCTGGGCCACGTAGCGACACGCGAAAAGCGGCAATCGAAAGAGCGTCAAAAATAAGGACGAAAACACTTCGGTCATTTTTTGGGTCAGGTCAAAGGTCAGGTCACCAGAGGTCACCAAAGGTAAAATGTTGACTATTTCAACACTTTGGAAACTGCCAACGGCTATCTCGGGAACCGATAGAGCTACAGCGCCGCGGAAAGACGCATTCGATAGCCCTTTTACAGACCTTTCTGAGTAATGTTCTCAGATTTGACCTCAGGTCAACGGTTTAGCCTCCAGAGGGCAAAAACTCCAAAAATAGCCGTTTTTACGAAAAACGTTTTTTCGTCAATAACTTTTGACTCATAAGCGCCATGACATTACTTTTGCCAGCATCGTGTTCCTTTCGTCGAGACGCGTCGAATGAACTATTCGTTGACCTTGAAAGGTCATTTTGAAAATTTGACCTCAGGTCAAGGTCATGACCTGACCGAAAAGGGTCATGTTGCATATCAGTCGATCCGTATCGTCGAGCTGAACACATCTGACGTGTTTTCACCGCTCTAGCACGTCTCTATCAAAAGTTATAGCCAAAAAACTGCTGGCGACCGTTCATGACCTGAGATGACCTCAGGGGCACACAGAGGGGTCACAGGTGCATTTTTCCTATTCAGTGTGTCATGTTTACCTATGAACCGATGTTTGAGAGCGTTTTGAACGACATTCGTCCAAAAGAGGCGCATTTCAATTTTCTCCCATTGACTTATAATGGAGAGGTCGCAAAATTGACCTGACCTTAGGTCACAGATATCAAAAATCCGAGATATACATTTTATACATACTGTTACTCATATCAATCGCTGAAAGTTTCAAAGTGATCGTTCAGTCGGTGTAGCTATAGCGAGCCTTTGAACTTTTTCTGAGGTAAGGTCACTTGACGTGACCTGGTGACCTGACCTTGAACGGCCTAGGTCTGAAATTTTCACAACATGTGCGGAAATGATGTAGGAACACGTGTACCAAAAACGGCGGCGCTGCGCGCCGCCGTTTTTGAGATATTCGCGAAAAACCTGAGGGGGGGGGGCGTAAAAACGCCCCCCCCCCAGCACGGCGCGGGTTAAAATCTAATGCATAGCTTGTGTTGGGAACAATTATGTATTACTAAGGCGTCAATGTCTCACAAATTAATTCGTCCATGCTCCTCACATTTTGCAAAGTGACCTTGTATTATGCGTCATAAGGTACTACACTACGCTTCAAACAATCAACACAAAGCACCAGCCAGGCACTGTTACAAGTAGCGAGCAGTTAAGTGGCGGCAGGTGGCGCTACCATCTCCAGCATCGGTCCAGATGGCGTCGCTCACTATCCGCACTATAGTTCCGCACTACCTGCTAATAAAATAAATAATAAATCCGCTATTAAATCTGCTATTAATCTCGCTAATAAATCTGCTAATAATAAATTCGCACTACCTGCTAATTTATGTCCTATTGGTGTCAAACATCATTCAACGCCGATAGGCCGAATCACCAGCCGTAATACTGGCATATTTACGTCTGGACAACGAGTTGCGTTGGAGAGGCCGGAAATAGTGGCGATTTCAGGACCGCAATAATGGACCGTCATTGGAATGATTCTTTTTTAAACCGTGCGTTGTTTTTAGCCGAAATTTAGTTCTTACCATAAAAATATTTTGTAATTAGATTTTGGCCGAGAATGAATACCATCAGAGCTAAGTTTTTACATTCATTGTATTTTGTCCAGAAGCATATAGTGCTATTTTATTGCAGTTTTTGCGCGTTTGTTACAAAATATGAAGCAAACCTGCAAAAAAGTTTCAAGGTGAAGATGATGTATATCACAAAATATCATATTGACCTCAAGTTCATCCGTTCCTTCCATGATTGACTAGACAGATTTACACATTTCAATTTTTTCTTGGATCAAAGGTGTCCGTGTGATCAGTGCCAACTGCCAGAGGTTAACTTGAAGGGAAGCTTGAGCTATGATAATTGCTCTTGTCCATGTCCCTCCACTAAGAAAAAGAAGTTATTAAATATTTTGCTTTGTGTATTCCAAGAGGAGAGAGAAGTGGGAGCTATTTTCTTTGTGCCTTCATGTCGAATTGAAGATGGATCATTAAATTGTTAAGGCGTTGATCAACCAAGCATTTAGTCTTTCTCGTACATAATCAGTGGCTAAGAAGAAAAAATTAATCATACCTGAAGTTTAGTCATCTTACTTCAACTCAAACTTTGCAGCAAGATCCCCAAGGACAGAGGATATATTGTATACCTATCCTGTAAATCAAAGCATTTTTGTGCTTGCAAAGGCTTAAGTTATTTGTTGTGTGCTCGGAGTGAGGCTATGGGCGCTTTGTTGTATGTTTATGCGGAGATTGAATATAACTGTGACCCTGTGATTGTTTGTATATTTAATACAGTCAAACAGCATATTCAAATAACATACTCACCTAGCTCATAGCTGTACTCCCGCAGGATTTGTACCTGTTGATGTCTCAAGCATGAACAAAGCACTAAACTAGCTTAGTTATCATTTCCCACATTTTTCTGAGCATCTAACATGGCATACAGCAGTGCAGAGCAGCTTCAGAGAAGAAACACTTAAAATGCACAGACTCACAACAGCCACCCAATGAGCCAGTTCCTCATTTGGCTGTTTCCCTGGATGTGGTTTGGCAAGGTGAGCGAACTGTTATCAAGTTGAAGGTTAGCAGGTAAGATTGAGTTAGGGTGAGTACCTAGTACCTATTACTGGGTGCTAATGCTATGCAGGTTTTGGGTAAGTTGCAAATAAGTGTGATGATTGAGGTTAGGTCAGGTTAGTCAGGTATGAATTGATCAGGTCACATTTTTATGAACACTTGGCAAATTAAAAAAAAAACTAACATGACCTAATATGCTAACCCAACTAAACCTACATAACTACTAAACTATAGGTACTGAGCACCTATACCTACTTGTGCCTACATCTCATACCAAGTCAAAATAAAGAAGTTTCTTTCTGGAAGATTACCCTGGCAGTACTTTTTATCCCAGCCATGTGAAGAAAACTAATACTTCTCAAGTTCTGAGTCCCTTCTGGCCATCCACAGAAAGAAATGCTGACAGCTTTGCTTTTGTATATTAGACCAATAATCACCATCACAGAACACATGATATGATCACATCGTTGCATCATGCATGGATTGTCACATTGACAATTTTACTGAAATCCTTTTTCAAGAAATGCAAAGTAATGATGAACATCAAATTAAACATTATAAAGCTGATTTAGTGATCCAAGCTTTCTCTTCCAGTAGCAATAGAATGATCGCATGTTTCATTTGCCAGACACTGAGTAATGCACATTGACATTACCATCTGCATAGCAAAGTTAA